TACCTGTACCCCTGTATATTACCCGTACCCTTGTATGTTACATTGCGTGCCTCAGCCCGGCATTGTGTGCTATTGTACAGAGTGTGCCCTCCGTGTAGACACGTATGTAGAGAAACACGGCTGTAACATTGTGTAATATTTATTCTACATTGAGGAATAAGACGACATTCCGACCTCCGGGACATCGGTTGCCGGCGGTGACGAGCGTTCCGATCAGGACTGCGAGCCGCTGGTGTCACCTCAACATCTTCTCTTTGCTGCAACGTGATGTAGGCGTGTCCGGGATGAGGGGAGATCGGAGACCTTCATTCCTCTCGCTGCAGCCATCTTTGTTACTCTTTTTGGGGAATGACGGTTCCTGCAGGATATGGCCAGTGACATCGGCCCCCCAACAGACCAATCACATGCAGAGGCTGCAGCTCCATGAAGGACCCTGAAACAAGCTCCGTACATCTCAGACAGGGGCCCGGTCTCGGATGTTCTCCTACGAGGAACGTCAAGACTACACTGCAGAGGATGGAGGGGAATCTCAGGGGCCCCCACACATGGATATCCAATGCTGTGACTTTCTGTGCCTCATAGGACCACAGGAAGGGGCCCCACGCAGAGGCTGGCAGTGGAAAAGCTCCAGCGGGAACATGTGACTCTGAATTGCTCCGGGTGACCAAATCATATCTCAGAGGGTCAATGAGGAGGAGGAGCACCCAGGGGAAGAGAGTCAAGGGAGCAAATCCCGAGGGGAGGCCATTCCGGGGCCCCGTGCTGAGGGGAGAAGACATCTGGGGGCCCCGTGCTGAGGGGAGAAGACATCTCGGGGGTTCTGTCATGTTGAAGGGAGAAGACATCTCGGGGGCCCCGTGCTGAGGGGAGAAGATATCTCGGGGGCCCCGTGCTGAGGGGAGAAGACATCTCGGGGGCCCCGTGCTGAGGGGGTAGACAACGTATCAGGGGCTTCGTGTTCAGGGGACATCTCGGGGGTTCTGTCATGTTGAAGGGAGAACACATCTCGGGGGCCCCGTGCTGAGGGGAGAAGATATCTCGGGGGCCCCGTGCTGAGGGGAGAAGACATCTCGGGGGTTCTGTCATGGTGAAGGGAGAAGACATCTCAGGGGCCCCGTGCTGAGGGGGTAGACCACGTATCAGGGGCTTCGTGTTCAGGGGGGACACAGAATTAAACCAGCTTTGGGGCAAAGAAAAGGTGAAATGTTGGGGTCTCTCCTCTGGGATACCGGGTGACCCCGCGGGGGAGGGTCTTCTTCAATGTCAGAATATCAGCGCATACAACTCATTGGTTGGCGGGAAGTTCATATGTACAAGTTCCTCATCTACTGCGCGTGGGGCCTCCAGGGGACACGGACCTCCCCCACCTCCAGGGCGGCCAGCGGGGGGTCAGAGGGCCTCCTGGCTGCTGCTTAGATATTCTTCTGCCCGCCGGTGGGACTCCAGGGCCCGGAGGGTGTAGATGTCCTGAGGAAGATCGGATCTCTTACACAGAACCTTCTGCTCCTGAGGGGGCGTGTGCAAGACCTGGAGGGGAGGAGACGAGACCATCAGAGACCAGACATCACTGCTGACCACGTATCCCAGTTCTTTTAGGGGGGGAGCAGTGGGTGAATAGGGGGAGCTCTTTGGTTTCTATGGGAACACTCCATCCTAACATGTGAAGAACTGACCACAGTCCAGAACAAGTCTCCCTTTCCCTAAACCTGCCCAGACAGAGGTGCTGATTGGTTTCTATGAACAAGGGGCGGGGCCTATTGACCCAAATCTTCCCAAACACAGTTACAAATAGTTCTATTGGTAAAGCCAGGAAAGGATCGAACACACAAAACACACGGAGAAAACACGGAACATGTTACAGAAACACGGAGACAGACCTCATCCGGCCTGGACACGGAACCACCAGCAATGGCTCAATGACAACCAATCAGCTGCTCTCATCTCTCTTCCGCCACATTCACACAATTCAGCTAAACTATAAAGTAGAACTCATTGTGGGGGGCCTCCTGACCTCTGCGTTCTGATTGGTTGTTGCAAATGACTGGCGCCCCTCCATGAAAGGGAATTGAGTATAACAGAGGCAGCTTCTGCCAGAGGGGAGTCATTGTGGATGAGAGAGAGAGCTGGCAGGTCATGTGATCCCTAGAAGCTCCACCCCCATCCACATATACACCTGTATTTGGCCAGAACATGTATGTGCTAGTGTTGGGTTTTGTGCTAAACGTCATATCGGTCACACGGAACCATCTGGAAGCCTCTCTCCCTCCGGGGTTTGGATGGAGCAGCCACTTGGAGTATTGATGAAGAATTGGGTGACAATTTATTACAAAAATCAGATGATTCCGAGTTCAGTTTTTTCTTCTCCGTGTAGGAACTGGGGAAGTCTTATACATTGGGGGCCACCAAGGGGGGGGGGGCAACACAGCAAAGGAAGCCAACAGGCCCAGGAAAATGTCAGAACCAGGGAATGCCGTCTGAGGGACCGGACATTCCAGGTTAGAATCAAAGCGGTCCACCTGGTAGAATTTGGTGAAGGGAAGTCCAGGGCGGTGGCCCGGCGATGATGCCAAAAAGCCCCAAAATGTCTCACGGATCTAGTAGCGTGCGCCTTGACCATAAGCGGGAATGATGGGCGGAGTCATCTAGAGATGGGGAGAGGAGAAGCTGCCTGATACAAGCTGTGACTAGGGATAGACTCTCAGTGGCCGGAACTTTCCTATGGATGAAGAGGAACCAGACAGCGAGGTGGGAGTGCAAGGTACAGGTACTCTTTGATGGACTCCAATCCTCCAATACTCGGTAACTAGGAGGTAAAAGACAGACATTTCCTACAGTAGGCAAGCAAGAAGTCCAGAACCAGAAGAGGAAGTCCTGCAGAACCAGAAGAGGAAGTCCTGCAGAACCAGAAGAGGAAGTCCTGCAGAACCAGAGGAGGAAGTCCTGCAGAACCAGAAGAGGAAGTCCTGCAGAACCAGAGGAGGAAGTCCTGCAGAACCAGAAGAGGAAGTCCTGCAGAACCAGAGGAGGAAGTCCTGCAGAACCAGAAGAGGAAGTCCTGCAGAACCAGAAGAGGAAGTCCTGCAGAACCAGAAGAGGAAGTCCTGCAGAACCAGAAGAGGAAGTCCTGCAGAACCAGAGGAGGAGGTCCTGCAGAACCAGAAGAGGAAGTCCTGCAGAACCAGAGGAGGAAGTCCTGCAGAACCAGAAGAGGAAGTCCTGCAGAACCAGAGGAGGAAGTCCTGCAGAACCAGAGGAGGAAGTCCTGCAGAACCAGTAGAGGAAGTCCTGCAGAACCAGAGGAAGAAGTCCTGCAGAACCAGAAGAGGAAGTCCTGCAGAACCAGAGGAGGAAGTCCTCCAGAACCAGTAGAGGAAGTCCTGCAGAACCAGAAGAGGAAGTCCTGCAGAACCTGCCCAGGAGCAATAAGGATCAATGGAATGTCCTCCATCTTGATCCCATGAAGCAGACGAGAAAGAAGTTTCAGGGGAGAAAAGGCAAAAGGTTGTACTGATCCCGCGGAGCCACCAGAGACACCACTATGCTAAAGGATCGTCGTACCAGCTTGTTGTTTGCCGGCTAATGAAGTCTGTCTGCCAATGGTCTACGCCTGGGATGTACACAGCTGACAAGAACGTGAAGTTCAGCCCAGGACACAATCTGATCCAACTCTCTTTACGCGGTGAGACTTCTGGTTCCGTGCCAATGCCGCCTGACTGAAGAGGATTGGATGACCTATCGGTAGGACGGTCCAATGCTGTCTGACTGAAGAGGAGTGGATGACCTATCGGTAGGATGGTCCAATGCTGTCTGACTGAAGAGGATTGGATGACCTATCGGTAGGTAGGTCCAATGCCGTCTGACTGAAGAGGATTGGATCCCATCGGTAGGAAGGTCCAATGCCGTGTGACTGAAGAGGATTGGATCCTATCGGTAGGACGGTCCAATGCCGTCTGACTGAAGAGGATTGGATGACCTATCGGTAGGACGGTCCAAAGCTGCCTGACTGAAGAGGATTGGATGACCAATCGGTAGGACGGCCCAATGCCGTGTGACTGAAGAGGATTGGATGACCTATCGGTAGGACGGGCCAATGCCGTCTGACTGAAGAGGAATGGATGACCTATCGGTAGGACGGGCCAATGCCGTCTGACTGAAGAGGAATGGATGACCTATCGGTAGGACGGGCCAATGCCGTCTGACTGAAGAGGAATGGATGACCTATCGGTAGGACGGGCCAATGCCGTCTGACTGAAGAGGAATGGATGACCTATCGGTAGGACGGGCCAATGCCGTCTGACTGAAGAGGAATGGATGACCTATCGGTAGGACGGGCCAATGCCGTCTGACTGAAGAGGAATGGATGACCTATCGGTAGGACGGGCCAATGCCGTCTGACTGAAGAGGAATGGATGACCTATCGGTAGGACGGGCCAATGCCGTCTGACTGAAGAGGAATGGATGACCTATCGGTAGGACGGGCCAATGCCGTCTGACTGAAGAGGAATGGATGACCTATCGGTAGGACGGGCCAATGCCGTCTGACTGAAGAGGAATGGATGACCTATCGGTAGGACGGGCCAATGCCGTCTGACTGAAGAGGAATGGATGACCTATCGGTAGGACGGGCCAATGCCGTCTGACTGAAGAGGAATGGATGACCTATCGGTAGGACGGGCCAATGCCGTCTGACTGAAGAGGAATGGATGACCTATCGGTAGGACGGGCCAATGCCGTCTGACTGAAGAGGAATGGATGACCTATCGGTAGGACGGGCCAATGCCGTCTGACTGAAGAGGAATGGATGACCTATCGGTAGGACGGGCCAATGCCGTCTGACTGAAGAGGAATGGATGACCTATCGGTAGGACGGGCCAATGCCGTCTGACTGAAGAGGAATGGATGACCTATCGGTAGGACGGGCCAATGCCGTCTGACTGAAGAGGAATGGATGACCTATCGGTAGGACGGGCCAATGCCGTCTGACTGAAGAGGAATGGATGACCTATCGGTAGGACGGGCCAATGCCGTCTGACTGAAGAGGAATGGATGACCTATCGGTAGGACGGGCCAATGCCGTCTGACTGAAGAGGAATGGATGACCTATCGGTAGGACGGGCCAATGCCGTCTGACTGAAGAGGAATGGATGACCTATCGGTAGGACGGGCCAATGCCGTCTGACTGAAGAGGAATGGATGACCTATCGGTAGGACGGGCCAATGCCGTCTGACTGAAGAGGAATGGATGACCTATCGGTAGGACGGGCCAATGCCGTCTGACTGAAGAGGAATGGATGACCTATCGGTAGGACGGGCCAATGCCGTCTGACTGAAGAGGAATGGATGACCTATCGGTAGGACGGGCCAATGCCGTCTGACTGAAGAGGAATGGATGACCTATCGGTAGGACGGGCCAATGCCGTCTGACTGAAGAGGAATGGATGACCTATCGGTAGGACGGGCCAATGCCGTCTGACTGAAGAGGAATGGATGACCTATCGGTAGGACGGGCCAATGCCGTCTGACTGAAGAGGAATGGATGACCTATCGGTAGGACGGGCCAATGCCGTCTGACTGAAGAGGAATGGATGACCTATCGGTAGGACGGGCCAATGCCGTCTGACTGAAGAGGAATGGATGACCTATCGGTAGGACGGGCCAATGCCGTCTGACTGAAGAGGAATGGATGACCTATCGGTAGGACGGGCCAATGCCGTCTGACTGAAGAGGAATGGATGACCTATCGGTAGGACGGGCCAATGCCGTCTGACTGAAGAGGAATGGATGACCTATCGGTAGGACGGGCCAATGCCGTCTGACTGAAGAGGAATGGATGACCTATCGGTAGGACGGGCCAATGCCGTGTGACTGAAGAGGATTGGATAACCAGAGGATTGGATGACCTATCGGTAGGACAGTCCAATGCCGTCTGACTGAAGAGGAATGGATGACCTATCGGTAGGACGGTCCAATGCCGTCTGACTGAAGAGGATTGGATGACCTATCGGTAGGACAGTCCAATGCCGTCTGACTGAAGAGGAATGGATGCCCTATCGGTAGGACGGTCCAATGCTGCCTGACTGAAGAGGATTGGATGACCTATCGGTAGGACAGTCCAATGCCGTCTGACTGAAGAGGAATGGATGCCCTATCGGTAGGACGGTCCAATGCTGCCTGACTGAAGAGGATTGGATGACCTATCGGTAGGACAGTCCAATGCCGTCTGACTGAAGAGGAATGGATGCCCTATCGGTAGGACGGTCCAATGCTGCCTGACTGAAGAGGATTGGATGACCTATCGGTAGGACAGTCCAATGCCGTCTGACTGAAGAGGAATGGATGCCCTATCGGTAGGACGGTCCAATGCTGCCTGACTGAAGAGGATTGGATGACCTATCGGTAGGACAGTCCAATGCCGTCTGACTGAAGAGGAATGGATGCCCTATCGGTAGGACGGTCCAATGCTGCCTGACTGAAGAGGATTGGATGACCTATCGGTAGGACAGTCCAATGCCGTCTGACTGAAGAGG